ATTGTTGGTAGGCACAGAGATTAATGGTTATTAATATCAGTCACAGGTACTGTAGGGGGGCTGCAGTGTGGCTTTAAACAGCATCAAGTTTGAGTATTTTCAGTAGGAGGTTTCTTTCCATGTAGGTCATTAAATATGTGCACACAAGCTTTCTCTTATTAGATCCTCTGCATTTTTCTTTTCTTGTTCTTTCTCAGCTGCGCGCCTGTGCTGCTGCAGCAATCTGCATAGAGAGACATTTGTCATCATTAGCCCTGCTCTGACAGTTGGCACCCGGCACCTTAGATCTCTAGGACTGGCAATTATGAACCCTTCATCCCTTATTTAGGCAACATTGCCTAATTTCATCACAGGCATCACTAGCAGTATTTGATTACCAACAGCCACAAACCTACAATATGCCACCATTCCCTTTGTTTTGTGTTTCACTGTGCTCCTATTCTTAGATCACATCACATGTGGGAGAGAACTGTGTTCAGTTAATCTGAGATTTGAAATTACTTATAAGACGGGGCTGCAGAGAGGACTGTAGATGAGCATCATGGGGTCAGTGAGCAGATGATTACAGCGCCCACCTTTAGATGGCAGACATCTCACAGACATTAAGATTAATCACACTGCTGCTGAATGGTTGCCTTTTACAACAGACAAGACAAGGAAGTCAGGCATCTAGTTTTCTTTGATAGATAAAGGGAAATTCAAAAGAACTGCAAGTTTGCAGAAATACTAGTCAATTCTTTGAGAGGATTCTACTAGCAATAACAATTTGTAGACGACAACAGGAATAAACATGCTGAATGCAGTAATAACAAACAGCCACAATCCTGATCCAGTCTCCAACACACCCCATGTTTAGTATTGTCATGTACAACAAAATACAATGCTAAACTATGTGTTAATAACGTGAGTGGAAAGCACTACACCAGCACTTTCACCACACTCAACTGCCAACTGCATAACCAGGGCATGAAAAAAGTGCACTGAACACAATTTGTATTTTCCTTTTGTGAAGCAAACCAGACATTTTCTGGATCGTTATTTTGGCAAACAAAACTGAATTGTATCATGCTAAATTCATGCAAATACATGCATGTAATTTATCACAAAGGCTGACAAGCGTACCATATTGCAAAGGGGAGGGGTAAAGGGCTAAATGAAGCTGAGACAATCAATTAAAATCATAATTTACACTTTTCTCCACCTCTCTGTTTCCTCAATATTTCTATCATGCTGATAAGTTTGGTGTTTTCTGGGTGTGTATATGCTGTGGATATGGTTCATAGTGAACATAGCCTGTCTCTGAGAGCCTCTGGCTATGTGGTCCAGCTTCTGGACTTCTCCAAAGGTGGCTGTTAATACACAGCAGAGAATAAAACAAATGAATGGACACAATCCAAAGGGGGTCCTCGGTGAGGCTCCGGGCCCAAAAATTAACTGGCCTCCTACAGAGACACCATATTGCTTGGAATAATAATGCTCCATTATAAAAAATTCAATGACAATTTCATTTTGTGACAAATAAAATTACAGAAAATGTGTCAACGTGAGTGGCTATCCCATGAGATTAAACTATATTATTTCTCACAGTTTGAGAGCCAGTGTTGATGTCACTTCTCTGAAGTGTCACTGCTTTTAATCTGATTTATATAGAAATGTGTCATCCTATTAAGTCCAGTCTGACTAATCTGCATATTAGCTTGGGAGCTAGCTGGTAAACTCCCTTTGTATGGGAGATGGCTTGAGATCCTCTTTTTCAAAACTAAATGACCCCAGGAATGTAATGAAAACGCATTTGGAAGACCTTATTTGTTCTTGAGTAATAGGATTATCAAAATAATACAACATCATCCATAATTATGATGCCAGTAAGAAGATTGCTGGTCATAAAGGTCTTGATCCAGCTTAAAATCAGCTAAATGCTATACTTATACAACAACACTGACTAGTTTGTTAATAGCCATGAGGTAATACAGAAAATTGAAACTTAAAGACAACATGTATAAATGTAAAACTGTAAAATCTTTTTCTATAAAATATAGCTAAATCCAGAGCGACCAGGATTGTGTTGGTCAAATTGGGCAATAAACATTCATTTTCGTGGAGAATTGTTTTTTCATTTCGCCCCTGGGGACTCGGTTTCTCAAAATATTATTGTTCTTTATTAAATGCTTGAGGCTACATACTGTTTTGCACAACACACAATAAAAATAATCATGTGTTTAATACTATGCTCATTTGTATATGATTTAGTTTAGTACATATATATTACTAATGTATGTGTATAAACATGGCATAAAGCCTTGTGCATAAAATATAAAATAAAGCAACATGCATTTAATGACTTCGGCTACAATCAGTAGGTTATAATTTCAAGTCACTCAAAGCACGAGTGTTGTCATCAAAGGTCAATTTCAGCCATCAGACAAGCACCATTGACCTTATGCCCGGCCATGTTAACAGGACGATCAGTCTCATGAGAAGAAAGCAAAAAGAAAAATGGAGGAGAAAAAATGAATAAGTGTAGAGGCATGCTCTGGAAACAAAGAGGCCTTCTAAACAGGGTCACATGCTCATGCAAAATTAGGCGAAGTAGAAGTCATTGTATTGATTTACACAATCGTGCATGCATTTTGCTGGGTCAGAAATAGGCCTGTACTGGAATCACAGCCCCATATATCACACTGAAGGGCCTCCAATAGCCTAGCGGGATGGCGACTGAAGCAACAAAGCTTGCAATGTTGTAATGATAAAGATATGGGTAAGAAGATTGGATTGTCATTGCTAGACCTGACAACTGCATATAGTGTTGGGACTGCAGAGCAGGTTGAGTTACTGTGAGAGCTGTACAGCCACATGCTTTAGATTAAGAGGTGATAATCTCAAAGAAAATCCCCTGTTCTATCACGCATACGGATGGCCAAAGGCTGGAGCACAAACTCAAGAGTTGCAACTGGATTCTGAGGTATCTGACTGGGAGCAAGATAGCCTAGAAAGTGAGGCTAGTCTGTTTTCAATAAAAGGCAAGTACCTGCTGGGCCACAGACAGTGGGAGAGAGTGAGAGAAAAGACTATCAAAGCCTGAGAGGGGAAGAGGCTTTTAGCCACCTCTCACCACATGAAAACCTTCCATAATGTCCTCCATATCCTCCAGCAATATGTCACAGAGAACATACATTTTTGACTGTGGAATTTAACCAGACCTAAATGTGAGAAAACCAGAATAGAGACCTAATGTTATTATTTTATTTCAGAATTAACCTTTATAGAGACATCTCTCATGTTCCACAATTAGATTTATGGAGAAAAAGATGCTACTCCATATCTGTAATTTCTGCCACGTAATAGTGTAAAATTATCAATGGGGCTTGCTAAGAAGCTACTGGCAGCGTGTCCATGACAGGCTGTGATGATAATGGAAGTCACCTATCTATCAGGGTCCTTCTCGCACACGCCACCTCCTGCTCAACCACATCCATGTAGTGAGTGTCAGAGCTGACATGTGGCAGTTTGCCCTCATAATGTCTGGACTTATGCAGTTCTGACTAGAGCAAAGATGAGTGTAAATGCCTTTGTGTTCCTTATCTGATCCGTGCAGCATTATCTTTTTGAAGTCCTCTTCAAAGCATGCACTGTACCTTTTGAGATGGAGTGCCAGTGCAATGATGAGAGCCAGAGAGGGTTTAGTGTGGATGCAATATTTCTTTATTGTGAATAACTGTATGGATCAGAGCAACATAGCTGTATCTAAATACAACACACTGATACATCATGGGAATAAGATGGTCAACCATTTTAATCTTAATTGTTAGAATTATTAGCAATTGCTGTTTTTATTTAGTTTTCTTCTTTTTTTTGTTGTTGTTATGTTATGCTATTAGTTTTTACCTTGATGTTGAAGAAAATGTAAATTTTTCATTACCAATAACAGGCTGTAGAATGCAAATGTATATTATTCTCTAATTTAATTATTAATTTTGATGACTGACATTTATGAAAATAATAATAACAATAGTTTCAATATTACAATAATTTTCAATACAAAAAAATATATTAAAATCACAGACCAACACATTCACTCTTTTACAGACTCTTCTTTCCTTTGGCAGATGGACACAATTAAACACTGCAATATATAGTTTAGTATATAGGTTATTATACTTTTCATTGTTGAGCAAAGTAAGAAAGAAATGTATATTAACTGTTATTATTATATTTTTAATTACAATATCCATTAATTAAATTACTGAAAATAGTGGCAGTGGAATTGTTGCACTGCTGCATAGTAAGAGAGCAAAACAAATAAGCTTTGCAAATCTGCATGGTAACACATGCTCAAGTTAAAAACTCTCTCGTGCATCACATCCACGATAATAGTCAAATATAATCACAATGCTCATTATAAATAGCGCGATAACTTTTCACCTTTCAGAATTAAGTTTGCTACCTCCTGTAATTTAACTTACCCGGAAAGGTCTAAGTAATAAACTAATTCATGATCATTTTATTAATATGTGGCTTAAAAAACAAAACCCACAAATAAGCCAACATTAATTTATAAAATACAATTGTATTTTTCGTAACGCTATTTCCAATGTATCCGGTGTGGCTTTTAGAATAAATTAGATCCGGTACACTGGAGAAAAAGAAAAGCTTTATATGGTAAATTTAAATGTTTTATTATCCGAAGACATAAATACTTTAACATTACTAAATCCACCTACTGTTTCATATATGACTGAATATAAAAGCAGCAGATAGAGTCCAAGAAAAAGCAACGCAAGGCAGTGAAAATTCAGTTTTTTTTCTTCCCTCCAAATGCGTAGGTGTACTTCCGCTCCTCGATATACTACTACTACCTGTACTTTTTACTTGTATATAACACCCGGGATGAATTTGTTTTCGATAAACTGGGGAGCGGTGACGCATCAGACAGCGATTGGACATCTTGGTTTCAACTCCTCCCTTATAATAAAGAGTGTGTGTGTCTCCCTGTTGTAAAACACAGCAACACCGGGCGTCTGCGTCAGGAGGGCACACTCCACTCTGCGCAATTACGCGGATTCCTAACTGGCACAGTTATCAGAGAAAGACCAAAAGGCAATTTTCCCAGCTACGGAAAAGGTTGAAATGGACTTTCCATCCTGATAGATTCAAGGACTTCCTTAGAGCACGTCAATGCAGTTTACGGTACAACAGCTGTGCATGTTATGATATGATTTTTACTCATGTGCTCTGAGCACAGCTTTAAATAGTTGTCTTATAAATAGACTTTTTTTTCTTTTTAAATAGCTTTCTTTTTTCTCTAAAATTGGCTCCCGTACAAACAGCCGCGTTGGATCCCTCGGCTTATTGCGAGACTCCGGTGTATAACCCGGATCTCTGCCCTAATATGATAGCCGCCCAGGCAAAATTGGTGTATCACCTAAACAAATACTACAACGAGAAATGTCAGTCTCGAAAAGCAGCCATCTCCAAGACCATCCGGGAGGTGTGCAAGGTGGTATCGGATGTCCTGAAGGAGGTCGAGGTGCAGGAGCCCCGCTTCATCAGTTCTCTCAGCGAGATGGATAATCGTTTTGAGGGACTGGAGGTCATTTCACCCACCGAGTTCGAGGTTGTACTCTATCTGAATCAGATGGGAGTGTTCAACTTTGTGGATGACGGGTCTCTTCCGGGCTGCGCCGTGCTCAAGCTCAGCGACGGCCGCAAGAGAAGCATGTCTCTCTGGGTTGAATTCATCACAGCCTCCGGTTACCTCTCGGCGCGCAAAATCCGGTCGAGATTTCAGACACTGGTGGCGCAGGCAGTGGATAAATGCAGCTACCGAGATGTTGTCAAAATGGTCGCTGACACAAGTGAGGTGAAGTTGCGCATTAGAGACAGATATGTGGTGCAAATCACGCCGGCTTTCAAGTGCACTGGGATCTGGCCACGAAGCGCTGCGCACTGGCCTCTCCCTCACATCCCCTGGCCGGGACCTAACCGAGTGGCAGAAGTCAAAGCGGAAGGTTTCAATCTTTTATCCAAAGAGTGCTACTCCCTGAACGGCAAGCAGAGCTCAGCAGAGAGCGATGCCTGGGTCTTGCAGTTCGCCGAGGCCGAGAACCGGCTGCTCCTGGGTGGATGCAGGAAGAAATGCTTGTCAGTCCTCAAAGCCTTACGCGACCGTCACCTAGAACTGCCCGGACAACCCCTGAACAACTACCACATGAAAACTTTGGTTTCCTACGAGTGTGAGAAGCATCCCAGGGAGTCGGACTGGGATGAGAACTGCCTTGGCGACCGCCTAAACGGGATACTATTGCAGCTTATTTCATGTTTGCAGTGCAGAAGGTGCCCGCATTATTTCCTGCCCAATTTAGACCTGTTTCAAGGGAAACCTCACTCTGCTCTTGAGAATGCAGCCAAACAGACTTGGCGACTGGCAAGAGAAATACTGACCAACCCCAAAAGCTTGGAGAAACTCTGAGGTAAAAAAAAAAAAAAAAAAAAAAAAGAAAATTAGTTCACCTCGTCTTTAAAAGTGTGGCAAAGAGGCCTAACAAGCTCATAAACGGACAGAAAAAAATGTTGCCAACCAATTTGCAATCTTGTGAAATGTGACTGTCCTCTGTTGTTGAATATGTTTTGGCCTAGCCTGTTTCAAAATATTTTTATAGTTTAATTTGCCATTATCCCAGTGCACCTTTTGGCGTTGTCAATACTTATGAGCAAGTTTAAATTATTGTCTACCATTAATCCAGTAGGCCACCTTTTCTCTCCGTGCCCCACGGTTGCCTAAATCCTACATTTTCTTAAATGCTTTAAAATAAAGCCCCGTGAAAAACTTTGGAAAAAAATAAAATACACATCTGTACATTTTATACTGTAAATACATTCATAGATTGTGATTCAAGTGGTCTGAAATTGTGAATGTTGTTCTGTGACACGTAAATAGGATCCACCTGTTTAAATCTACTTCTGAACTTTTTCTTTATCTGGTAGAAACGTCATTAATTTATACTTGCATCGGTGGTAGTCTGATTCATCTGTTCCGATGGAAATTGTCTAATTTTTGAAAGTTTACATTTTGATGGTAGGCGTACCACATTTGTTACATTGAAAACATTCCATCAATTTACTTGAATTATTATTTAAAGTACTCGAACATTTGGTTGTTGTTTTTTACCTTAGGCCTACATGATAAAAAAATGAAAATGATAACATATATATATAGTATATATATTACAGTTTAATAGAAAAAATGCACTTGAAATACACTGGATTATAACATCTGTGATCTGATTTTTAAATTTCTGTCTTTGATCTAATTTAAAGAGCTAATAAAACGAGCTGTTTTATATTTGTGTCCCATAATGGTTTTATTGTGTTTTTGACAGTAGTGAAGTAGGCCTAATGTCATGCAATAACTGTATAATGAAATATTTAATTTCTGAGTCTTGGCTCATGTTCTACTTGGATGTGTTTGACACCTTAAAAAGGGAAATACGGAAGTGATCATTTTCATACACAACATTTTAAACAGATCTGCAACCCTGCCGATCCATCTGGATTTGTTAAACCATAAACCCTTGTACAAGAAAGAGTTTTTTTTTTTTTCAACATTAGGTGGATAACCAGTTAACTTGACTTTTTGAAGGTTGAACCTACACGATGATTAGCATAGGCCACAGTGGTCATTCTGACTTATTTTTAATGCACAAATAATGCAGCAAATTGAAACACACAAAATAGAAATCAACTGTGATTTACAACAAAGGTTTGGACGCAAAGCGTCATTATATTGGCTAATACAAAAAAACCCGAAAAAAACAAGACCGAACACGATGACAGAAGCACAGCGCAGCTCTCTGAAAACAACACCTGTTCAAATCAGTACCTTTTCGTTTTATACCAACAACTGCGTATTTAATATAGTGGCTGTTTAATAGCCTACATGTCGGCCAGTCAGGATGAAAACAATCAACTGTGAAACATGTCAGAAGCCAAACTGCCAGCTTTAAACTTGGGCAGCACACTTGCTTGCAGGTTACTTACCTTTGAGTCGACCCTTTTGAAGGCAGGGTCATCCTCGTCCACCTCGAAGTAGATTTCAGTGGTGGTGATGGACAGAGTCCCCCGGGCCACCAGGACAGGGGCAACAAGCTGGGCCGGGCTGCTCAGGACCACTGGGCCTGCAGAGTTTAGAGGGGGCAGCCGCAAGCAGAATCAGTACCATGCTAAAAAGATGATATTTATATTAAATTAAGCGAGCCTGAAATTAATTCTGAAAACCTGATCAATGCGATGACAGGAGATGGGCTACTACCATGCCAGCGGCCTGTTTGCATAGGTGATACATGAACATACAACCTGTTCTTAAAACATTAGGGGATTTTAAAATTAGTCGTTGTCGTTCAGTCAAATATAACTCATTAAACAGCTTCGTGAAAGCCTTTATTATTTATCGCGCAACAAAACAAAAGACTTTGAACGTTTTTTTGCCTTTGAGTTGCACATTTCCATATGCGCGCATACAGTAGATTTATTAGGCCAACAAATACATAGAGGTTTCATCAAAACAAAGTAGCTTACTTGTTTGTAAACCAGCGATGCACTGATAACAAAAAAGCCTTTATTATCTGATGGATCATAATGCACAAAAAACACAACTGAAAAAGGTTTTATGAAGTTAAATAAAGCAATGCCTTATTTCGTACATGATCGTATCATTGTAACGTATTTGCAGTACATGTGTATAAAAGAATGTGCATCATTGATATTCAAGGCTGCTTTAAAGGGGGAAGCTTGTAAATGGATTCCTGAAAACAAAGCTGCTCTTTTATTCTCCAATACACCCTCGTATACATTTAGACATGTAGGAAAACAATACAACTACAAGCTTGTTCCCAAGGCCAAATAATTGTCCTGAATTTTAAAGGTGGGTTTGTGACCCTGCCAGCTGATAGTGATCACATCTTTATTTTCAGTCTTCTCCCTCCCTTCTTTTCCTCTGCTTCATCCTCCATGTTCTCAGATCAGTGTCGCTGTAGAGCACCGTTACAGTGATTTGTCTGTTCTCAAACGAAAGCTCGCGAAATCAGGATATTTATCGATCCCTTAAACTCCAAAGAGCCACTTTAGTGTCTCATCAATCTTAATCTGCGTTCCTCAGCCAATTATGGCCGATAGTGTTACAGGAATACAAGTGGATTTCGGTCTCAACTCCCAGAGCGCCCCTTCATCGCTCTTGCAGGCTGCACAGTCAAACTGCTCTCTCTGGATTTTTGTTCTCAGCGTTGGTCGGGTCCATTAACAGTGATCCTATCTGCTGATGCTATCAGCCCAGGCGCGACACGTTGCTTACAAGCTTCGTATGAAGAGTAAATACTTGCAGTAACCTCAGCCTGTTTTACTGCATTTTAGATAACGTTAAGTGTATTTATAAAAGAAGAGAAAATTCAAGAAATATTTTTTTTCAATTGCACACCCTTTAGTAGTGACTGTATTTATGTAAAAATACAATTCTTATTATTCTTTTTATTATTATTTCTGGCAATTGACTTTTGTATTGGCTTAAACTGTTTCAGCTACAATAAAAGGAGATTGTCTTTATGTTCACCCCAGCCTCTAAATTACAAACCATTCACCTAAAAATAACACTTTCAGGGCTGATGCATTTGGCCCTAAAGGGCAACATAGAGAGAAAGACACTAGCCTGAAGCATTAAGCCACAGCCTCCATTGCTCATGGGGAAGAAGAGGATTAGGCAGTAATCCCCTCAGGGATTCTTCCATAATTAGGCTGTATGGCATTAAAATGTTTACAGGAGAATAATGAAATTAAGGCCAAGTTACACAGGATGAGTGGTGCATATGCTAAAGCTTGGAATACCCGGCTGTTGGGTGTTTCTTTTAATGAAAATGCAAATATTTGTCAAATGACAGGCCAATTTAATGAAGTGATGAGAAGTCTCATTTTGGTGTGGTGGGAGTTTGGGAGAACTGCTGAGAAAAAGGGTATATTATTACCCACAATCCATCTGCTGGACTGCAGTGTTTGATAAGGCAAACATGTTGACTTGTAGTAGATTCACGCACATATACACACATGTAGCCATTATAATCTAGAAGTATGTACTACAAACTATTTAATAAGACTGCAGCATACAACAATTACATTAAAATGGGCAGAACTACTAAATATTTAATATACAAATAAAAATAAAAATATATATTTTCTTTTTGATGTCACCAATACTCTCTTTATACAGCATTTAGAAATGACTTGTGGACATTTTACTAAAAAAACAAGAAACTTGGGGAACTTGGTAATGCAAAAGGCAGAATAACATGCCCTGTTTTCCTCTCACATTGTTTTCTAAGATTACACATTTAGAAATATTGGGTTTGTTTTATTCTTTTATAAACATGTCACCACTCAAGGGATCAGTATTGTGAATGGGGAATAAAATGGATACAGAAAGGCTAAATTAAGGCAGAACAAAATGGTTGCGGCTGCTAAACCACACTTCGGGGTATATTAGCATGGTTCCGGTAGCCAGCAGGAAAGTCAAATCAACCAACTTGCTTAACATAAGAAATGCCTTGTGAGGCTCGGATTCTTTCCTCTCACATGCTCATCTTAAGTTTCTATTTTACCCGATTTTGGTTACAATATGTGCATACAAAAGGGCTCATTTAATGCCAGTGCAAGATTGTGGGGGAGCAAAACTAATCATAGGTTCAGTAACCACAACTGTCTGGACCCTTGAGTGCAGGCGCCGCCCCTTTGGCAGCAGCAGCAGGCACTGACCCAACGGCTGGCAGGAGGAGCACTGTTGTTGACAAGGATCTAGTCCCAGATCTCTCATTAAGGCTGTTCATGCCTGAGATTAGATACAGGCCAAACACAGACAGTGCACCCTGATAAAAACATTACCCAAATGTTGTGAGCGAGGCAGCTCCCCTATCGGTACAAAAATGAACTCAACTTTGATTCAACATAATGAAAAATGTTCTTAAATCCCAGCACTTATTCTTCAAAGTCAATATCCACTTTCAAAGTTGGTCACACATCATAAATGCATCCCAAATATTAAATCTCAGCATTTCTGTTTTGTAGAAGGTCATTGTTAGATCTCTCAGGAGAATACATTCTCATTGCATTTTAGCCCTTGCTTTGCTCATCTGATTGGGCAGTGCGGGGTTCATCTGACAGACATGGAGTGTTTGGCTGCCTGCTGGCCCTGGGACAAAGAGGAGGGGTTAGCCTCCTCCTCTGAGATTCATCTGTCGGATCTTAAGAGGGGATTTCACTGCTCAGCAGTGCCCTGGTTCAGCCTGACCCTCATAGGCCATGATAACTAGGTAATGTGTAAAGGGCTGTGAAACTGATGTTATTATTTAAGTGTCTGAGAATCTGGAAGCTCTTTGCATCTTTCTACATACAATGTCTATCACACTTTGTACATGGAATGAATATATTACATGCATGCCAATACCAAAATAAGAATGC